AGACAGAGCAGAAGTGAATGGAAGGGTTGGAACCTATTTTTCCTTTCAAAATATGCTGGCCTTACACTATTGATCTAGCGGTACATTTTTCTCACTAGTTGTATAACAACTTATGGCCAGATGGAAAATGTGGCCGATCGGATGAATAAATTGTGCAGTTGGCTGAATTGTCTGGGTACAGAGCATTTTTTAAAAATTCAGCTTCCTCTACAAGTTTTACACAAATATCTTAGATAGTTACATCCAAAACTCTATATATACATGCCTTAGGCTTCATTTCCAAGGGTTATAAAATATTTCCAATAGTCAGAAGCTTCTTGAGAGCGCCATACTTCTAGCTCCCTTGCATCATCTTCAACCTTCAATTCTTTACCTATATCATCAAAACACCATTAAATCTTAGCTTTGGAGCTTCTTGTAGGAAATTCTAGGCCATACTCAAGAACCTTGAAGGTGCTAGGATAGAGTTTGACAACTAAGAGGCTCATCCTCTCTTTCAAAGGTAAATTCTTGAACTTTTTGCTCATCCTCTCTCTATGTCTCTCTGTCTCTCTCTCTCTCTCTCTCTCTCTCTATTATCAAGCTTTGCACTTTATTATTGCTGTGTTGTAATCATATGATTGGTTCTCATGGATGTGGAGAGGACTACGATATAGCCACTTATCCATTAAGTAGATTGAGTTCTTTGCTCTCTTTCATTCATGTACCTTTTCTTTGCTTTCTAGTACTATACTTCATCATTTTCATATTTAGATATGTAAATTAGAACCTTGTGGATGAGGATGGAGTTGGAATTAGCCACCCATCCACAAGTTTGATTATGTAATGTAGTTTTCCTATTTTCATACGCTTTCTCATCACTTTTCTCATCATCCAAGTATATTAGTTCATGTGTTTCAATCCATGCTAAACTCTAATGAGTAGTTGTATTTGTTACATTGTCACGACCCCGTTCCATCCCAAATAAGATAATAGCTATGATTGGCTAATAATGTTTGACTACTAAGGCCTATCAAAATAAGACAAGGTTGGACTGAAACTTTGGAGTTTAAGTGGAAATACATCATTGTCCATCAATTAGCAAGAGTCAATCCAAAGCCTGTGCATAGATCATATGATACAAATAAGCAACTTTATTTATTTATTTTTAACATTTACAAACACAACATCCAAAAGGAAAGTACAACATTTACAAATATACAGCTAACAAAAACCAAAACTCGAAGACAAGGTCTTCGTCCAAAAGTAGAAAAACAAAAGAAAAAGACTTCTAGCATAATCTCTCAACCACAACAGGATCCTTGCCATCACTTGCATACATATAGGGGAGAGGGGTGAGCCAAAGCCTAGTGAATAGCAATATAGTAAAGTGGTAAATGAATGAACACCAATAACCCTTATATAAAATTAAGCACAAGCTCTTTTCAAACATAGTATAATTTCCACATGATATTAAAATCTAACTTGCAAGCATATACATAGCGATGAGCCTTCTCAAGGCATTTTGGAACAGAACAAGGTCCATAACAGGTGGCTGAAGAGCTCAGTTAGTACATGGTTATTGGCATGATTCCCAATAACTAACAAATACCAAGATGTCATCTTAATACATGATAGAAAAATATAGGATGTTCATTCATCGTAAAACAATAGTATAACTTTCTAAACATATCATAGGTTTGCATTTCGAATTATAAATTTTAACAAATATAAGTTTAACACACTACTACTCACAATTGGCTCTGCGAATAAGGGTTTAAACATCTTTAAGCTTGACCTATACAAAACAAGAACAAAACAGTGAAGCATTGAACAATCTTTAAACTTTCTATATCAATTAATCATACAAATAAACTTCAATTCTCTTTTCTATTAAAACATGTTTCAAGTGGGTTTCTAATTATGTTATCCTTGTGTTTAGGTGCCAAAACATGCCTAAAGATGTCCCAAGAAATGAAGGAAAACAATTGGAATAAAATGTGTAAATGCTCTAAAATGGCCAGTCCGTTGTAGCGATCATTTCACCACTCGAGTGGTGATAAGGTACCTCCCAGAAGTACATACCTGCAAAATGAGATTCTGAGAGTTGCTAAAGTGCGCTCGAGCCATCTTTTATTCACTCGAGCGGTAAACCGACTCACATTGGTTTTTGGGCTATTCGCTCGAGTGGTGATCTGCAAAGCAGAATTCTGTAGTTCGCAAATCTGTCCTGTTCTAGCTGTTCTAAGGTCATCTAGCTTTGATTTCCTGCACTTTCAAACCTCAAACATGATATGCTAAGTTTAGTATCTTAAAAATACACTAATACGATTGTTTCCTAAATCAAATACATGAAATCTTTACTTGTTTTCAAGGTTTGAAGCATTTTTCAAGTTTGTATGAGAAATTTCATGGGTTTTTTTTCATCTTTTATTTCCAAAACTCAAAACCAATCTACAAAATCATAGGAAGTCAAAGAGACATGTGAAAAGAAGAGTGCAAGGACATCCAAAACCTCAAAAACCAATTCAAAAGATTGAGAATCCTAAGCTTCCTCCCTAGTTCACATCCTAACTAACTTCTTTTTCTTTTTCCTCCTAGTTTTTCATTCCTAATCCATTTTCATCCTAACGTTTTCATGATTGAAGATGTTAAAGAAGTCTACTATATGTTTTAGGATAGAAATCTCACCTTAGAACACTTTTAGGATGAGTTGTTGGTTGATTCTGTTGAACTCTTCCTTCTCACTTTCCTTTCTCTCTTTTCTCTCATTCTCTTTTGTTGTTTCTCTCAACTTCTAGCAGATTTCTCTTTTATTTTATTTTGAAGATTAAGGTTTTATTTGGTGTAGCTTGGACAAAGGTACAACTTCCTTAACTAATTTAATTCCCATGCTTAAGTTTAAGATCTTATAATCATGCTTAGTTATTACTAATCCTAATTAGCAAAATAGCAATTAGGATGAAATGGTCAAGGTTGTTAGACTAAGGTCTTTAAGCTCCTTACTTAAGGCGTACGCTCATCCTAAGGATTTCAAATCAAGTTTCAAACTATTCCCTAACTTTGGTCACAAAACATGCAAGTCCTATACATAACTTCAAATCCCTTTTCCTTGTCAATACTATCAAGTCTAATATCAAACAAGTGTAGAATACATGACTTAAATGCATAGACAATAAAGTAAACATGATGCATGAATGGGTTTGGTTGTTACATTCTCCCCTCCTTAAAAAGTTTGGTCCTCCAAACTTGCCTTACCTTAACTTGGAAATAGACTAGGGTACCTCGTCTTCATCTCATTTTCTACTTCCCAAGTAGCATCTCTCCCATAATGTTCTTTCCACACAACTTTTACCATAGCTATCTCCTTATTTTGGAGTTGTTTCACTTGGCAATCAATGATTTCAATAGGTTATTCTTCATAATCTAAGTCTTCATCAATAACCAAGTGCTGATAATCAATCACGTGGGAAGGATCTCGAGCATAGCCTCATAACATAGAAATATGAAAGACATTATGAACCTGTTCCATTTCTGGTGGCAATGCTAACCGGAAGGCTGCTGGGTTGATCTTTTCAAGAATCTCAAATGGCCCTACGTATCGTGGAGACAATTTCCCTTTTTTTTTTTTTTTCAAATCAAGTCTGGCCCTTCATCAGAGTAACTTTTAGAAACACATGATATATGACTTCAAACTCAACGTCCCTTCTCCTCAAATCAACATAGCTTTTTTGTTGACTTTGGGCAATTTTGAGTTGTTGTTGAATAATTGTAATCTTTTCTATAGTAAGAACAATTTCGGGCCCTATCATTAGTTTGCCCCCAACTTCTGTCCAGCATACTGGTAATCTACATTTTCTCCCATACAGTGCTTCATAAGGTGCCATGTCGATTCTTGCTTGGAAATTATTGTTGTAGGCGAACTCAACTAATGGTAAGTGAGTTTTCCAACTTCCCTTGAAATCCAATGCACACAGACGAAGCATATCTTCCAAAATCTGTATTGTCCATTCTGATTGACCATCGGTTTGTGGATGGAAGGCTGTACTAAATTTTAGTTCTGTTTCGAATGCTTTCTACAAACTTTGCCAAAATCTAAACATAAATTTGGAGTCTCTATCCGGCACAATAGAAACAGGCACACCATGAAGTCAAACAATCTCATCTATGTACAAGGCAGCTAACTTGTCCGCATTATAAAAAGACTTTACATGTAAGAAATGAGCAGATTTGGTCAATCTATCAACAATGCCACAAATTGAATCCATACCTTTTGGTGTGCTCGGCAAGCTAACTACAAAATCCATTGTGATATGTTTCCATTTCCATTACGGGATAGAGAGAGATTGAAATAGACCAGCACGCTTTTAGTGTTCAACTTTTACTTGTTGGCATTGAAGGCAATGAGAGAGAAACTCAGCTATGTCCCTTTTCATATTTGGCCACCAGTAAACTTTCTTGAGATCTTGATACATTTTGGTGCTTCAGGGGTGGACTGCAAACTTCGAGCTATGTGCTTGCTCGATGACTTTCCTTTTCAACTCCGGCATGTTTGGAACACATAATCTGCTTTCAAACTATAACACTTGTTCTTTCATTGAAAATCCCGATCTTGGCTTTGAATTAATCTCCTCAAAAATTTTCTTGAAGTAGACATCCTTTATTTGTCTTTGTTTGATTTCGTCAATGAAAAATGATTGGGTAGAAATTGTAGCCATAGTTCCTTCTGTTTCATGTAGAACCAATTCTATCTCTATTCTCTGAAGGCCTTGAAGTATGTCTCATTGTTTGGTGAGTAGACATGCCAAATTTTCCATTGACTTCTGCCTGAGGGTGTCTGCTGCTATGTTTGCTTTGCCAGGATGATACTGTATGTGCAGATTATAATCCTTCATTAGTTCTAGCCATCTTCTCTGCCTCATATTGAGTTTCTTCTAGGTAAACAGATACTTTAGGCTCTTATGGTCTACGAACACCTCACATGTAGCCTCGTACAAGTAGTGACGCCATATCTTTAGTGCTTAAACAATGGCTGTCAATTCCAAGTCGTGAGTTGGATAATTCTTTTCATGCGGCTTCAATTGGCAGAAAGCATAAGCAATAATTTTACTATTCTGCATTAAAACACAACCCAATTCTTTGTGTGATGCATCATAATAGATAACAAACCCCTCAGTACTTGATGGTAATATAAGAACTGGCACTGTGATCAGCCTAGTCTTTAACTCTTGGAAAGCAGAATCCCTCTCTTCTATCCACTCAAACAGTGTTGCTTTATGTGTTAATTGGGTAAGTGGGATTGCTATCTTGGAGAAATCTTTGACAAATCTCCTATAATAACCAGCCAAACCAAGGAAACTCTGAACCTTTGTTACATTAGTGGGCCTTGGCCAATTTACTATAGTTTCAATTTTTTGGGGATAAAAAGAAATACCTTCCTTATCAATTACATGTCCCAAAAATGCCAAAACTCACATTTCTTCAACTTTGCATACAATTGTCTATCTATAAGAGTTTGAATGATGAATCTTAAATGTTGTTCATGGTCACCCCCACTTTTAGAGTAAATCAAAATGTCATCAATGAAGACTAGAACAAATTCATCCAGGTAAGGCTTAAAAATTCTATTCATCAAATCCATGAATGCCGTAGGAGCATTAGTAACTCCAAATGGCATAACCAAAAACTCGCAATGGCCATACTTGATTCTAAATGTCGTCCTCTCAACATCTTTTGCCTTAACTTTGAGCTGATGGTAGCACAATCTAAGATCAATCTTAGAGAAAACTTGTGCCCCTTGTAGCTGATCAAATAAATCGTCAATTCTTGGTAATGGGTACTTGTTTTTTATAGTCCCCTTGTTCATCTCCATGTAGTCGATACACAAACGAAGATTTCCATCCTTCTTTTTCATAAATAGCACTGGTGCTCCCCAAGGTGATGTGCTGGGACGAATTATCTAGCAAGTCTTGTAACTGCATTTTCAATTCCTCTGGCTTTACTGGTGACATTCTGTAAGGAGTCTTGGAAATCGATTGAGTTCTCTGTGCAACATCAATTGTAAACTCAATTTCTCTATCAATCAAATTGCCTAGTAATTCATCAGGAAATACCGCTGAAAATTCCCTCACTACTGGTATGTCATTCAAACTGTTATCAGATTCCTGTACAATCAAAATAGTACAAAACTATCCTTGATACCCTTTCTTGAGTAGTTTACATGCCTTCATGGATGAGATGAGATATGGTGGTAGTACTATGCTTCTACCTTGAAAGGAAAAATCTTCTTTATTTGGTGGTTAAAATGAGACAGACTTTGACACACAGTCTATTGTAGCATAATTGGTTGACAACCAATCCATTCCTAAAATAGCATCAAAATGACTCATTTCTATAGGCAATAAATCGACAATCAAGCTAATATTCCCAATTAATATCTCACAATCCCGATAGATGGAGGTACATATCATAGATTCATCCGACGGTGTAGATACTGACATTAGAAAATTCAAAGGTTCTTGCAATTTATTTAACTTATTTTCAAATTGACTAGATACAAATGAATGTGTAGAACCCAAATCTATCAAAATATACTCATTATGAGCATAGATGGAGAGTATACCTGATATAACTGGATCCGTACTCTGAGCATCCCCTAGGACTAGGGCAAATACCCTTGCTTGTCTCACCGGTTCCTTTCCTGTGGTGTTAGGCTTGGCAATTGGTCTCTGAACCAATCCCAATGAGCTACTTGCACCTTTTCAAGAGTTTTGCCCAATTTTCGGACAATCACTTATATGATGTCCCATTTGTCCGCATCTAAAACAAGCCCTAGTACTTCGACGGCAGATCCCACAGTCTGTACAAGCTGGTATAACTTTGCTCCCTTGACTGGTACCACTGGTGGTTCATACACTCGACTTTTTTATAGGTAGATTTGTTTGATCCTTTTCTAGTATCATACCCCTGTCTCTTATTGAACCATTCTTTGGATTTTTGTTCATCCTTTGCATTCAACTAGGCCATGAGTGCTTTATCCAAAACTTCCACATATGTAGAAAAATTAAAGAGATTTACTTTATCTCGGAGTGGTCCTTGAAGCCCTTCCTCAAACTTCCTAGCTTTGTTGTATTCGGCGTTGACCATGTGTGGAGCAAATTTGGCTAGTTCCGTGAACTTGGCATCATATTCTGACACTGTACCCCCACCTTCCTTGAGTGATTGGAACTCCGATGCTTTCCTATCCCTGGTAGATTGTGGAAAGTAATTTTCATGAAGATCTCCAAAAAGTTGTTCCACGTGATACCCTCATGCTGGCCTTTTACTAACATCCACCATCTACGCGCCTCCTGTGCTAGAGTGAAGGTGGTAAGTGCAACTTTTGAGTTTCGGAGGAGGAGAAGATCTCAAATAACTTCTCCGCCTCTAACACCTATGCCTATGCCTTCAATGGATCAATTTCTTCCTTAAACTGAATTGGTTTCTCTATCTTAGAGACTCTACTTCCTCTCTTACACCTTCTAACATCCTTTCGAGTCTATCCATATGGCTGGCAAAGGACTCAGCTTAGCTCTTTCTCTCATCGTAATGCTATGCATGCAAAGCATATGTTAAACAATATAATATATGCATATACTAACTTAAATATTAGTACATAAGATGCGCACCTTGTCATACACACTCATCATGAATGCATTCCTAAAGTTCTTCTAGGGAAATCCTATGCTCTGGAGGACAGTGTGTGACAAACATATGCTACGATACCACTCTGTCACAACCCCATCCCACCCCAAATAGGATAACAGCTATGACTGTCCAATAGTGTCTGACTACCAAACGCCTAACAAAACAAGACAAGGTTGGATTGAAACTTTGAGGCTTAAGTGAAAATACATCACTGTCCATTAATTACTAAGAGTCCATCCAGAGCCTGTGCATAAATCATATGATTCAAACAATCAACTTTATTTATTTATTTTTAACATTTATAAACTTAACATCCAAAAGGAAAGTACAACATTTACAAATATACAACTAACAAAAACCAAAACTCAAAGACAAGGTCTTCGTCTGAAAACTCCAATGTCCAAAAGTAGAAAAACAAAAGAAAACGATGTGTAGCATAATCTCTTATCCACAACAGGATCCTCACCATTATCTACATACATATAGGGAAGAGGGGTGATCCAAAGCCCAGTGAATAACAATTTAGTAAAGTGGTAAATGAACACCGATAACCTTTATATAAAATTAAGCACAAGCTCTTTTCAAACACAGTATAATTTCCACACGATATTAAAATCTAACTTGCAAGCATATACATAGCGATGAGGATTCTCAAGGCATTTTGGAACAGAACAAGGTCCATAACAGGTGGCTAAAGAGCTCAATTAGTACATGGTTATTGGCATGATTCCCAATAACTAACAAATACCAAGATGTCATCTTAATACATGACAGAAAAATATAGGATGTTCATTCATCGTAAAACAATAGTATAACTTTCTAAACATATCATAGGTTTGCATTTCGAATTATAAATTTTAACAAATATAAGTTTAACAAACTACTACTCACAATTGGCTCTGCGAATAAGGGTTTAAACATCCTCAAGCTTGACCTATACAAAACAAGAACAAAACAGTGAAGCATTGAACAATCTTTAAACTTCCTATATCAATTAATCATACAAATAAACTTCAATTCTCTTTTTTATTAAAACATGTTCCAAGTGGGTTTCTAAGTATGTTATCCTTGTGTTTAGGTGCCAAAACATGCCTACAGGTGTCCCAAGAAATGAAGGAAATCAAGTGGAATAAAATGTGTAAATGTGCTAAAATGGCCAGTTCGCTCGAACGGTCACTTCATTGCTCGAGTGGTGATAGGATACCTCTAAGAAGTACAGACGTGCAAAATGAGATTCTGAGAGTTGCTGAAGTGCGCTCGAGCCATCTTTTATCCGCTCGAGTGGTTAACCGACTTACATAGGTTTTTGGGCTGTCTGCTCAAGCGGTCTTCCCACCACTTTAGTGATGATCTGCAAAGCAGAATTCTACAGCTTGTGAATCTATCCTGTTCTAGCTGTTCTAAGGTCTTCGAGCTTTTTGATTTCCTGCACTTTCAATCCTTAAACATTATATGCTAAGTCTAGAATCATACAAATATACTAATATGATTGTTTCCTAAATCAAATACATGAAATCTTTACTTGTTTTCGAGGTTTGAAGCATTTTTCAAGTTTGTATGAGGAATTTCATGGGTTTTTTTCATCTTTTATTTCCAAAACTCAAAACCAATTTACAAAATCATAGGAAATCAAAGTGTCATGTGAAAACAAGAGTGCAAGGACATCTAAAACCTCAAAAACCAATTCAAAAGATTGAGAATCCTAAGCTTCCTCCCTAGTTCACATCCTAAATAGCTTCTTTTTCTTTTTGCTCCAAGTCTTCATTCCTAATCCATTTTTATCCTAACTTTTTCATGATTCAAGAGTTAAAGGAGTCTACTACATGTTTTACAATAGAAATCTCACCTTAGAACACTTTTAGGATGAGTTCTTGGTTGATTCTCTTGAGCTCTCCCTTTTCACCTTTCTTTCTCTCTTTTCTCTCATTCGCTCTCATTATTTCTCTCAACTTCCAACATATTTCTCTTTTATTTGATTTAGAAGCTCAAGGTTTTATTTGGTGTAGCTCAGGCAAAGGCACAACTTGCTTAACTAATTTATTTCCCATCCTTAGGCTTGACTAATCAAGTTTAAGATCAACTAACTTAATCTTGTTCTAATCATGCTTAGTTATTACTAATCCTAATTAGAAAAATAGAAATTAGCATGAAATGGTCAAGGTTGTTAGACTAAGGTCTTTAACTTCTTACTTAAGGCGCAAGCTCATCCAAAGGTTTTCAAATCAAGTTTCAAACTATTCCCTAACTTAAACCACAAAACATACCAGTCTTATACATAACTTCCAATCCCTTTTCCTTCTCAATACTATCAAGCCTAATAGCAAACAAGTATAGAATACATGACTTAAATGCATAGACAATAAAGTAAGCATGATGCATGAATGGGTTTGGTTGTCACATACATGGAGCTCAATTGGATGATTCTTAAGGTTTGATGTTGGGAAAGTGATTAGTTTTCCTTTCATTTGTGTTTTCTTAGAAGCCCTATAGAGCTTTTGTTGGCTCTATGAGGCTTCATCTTAGAAATGGTAGCAATCTAATCTCTCCAATTAATAGCATGGATTTGTTCATTTACCTTTATCCACAAAGAGATGAATAGGTTTCCATCTATTTGTTTGGCTTGACCTTTCTTCCAACCTCAATTTCTATACTTGTTAATCTTTCCATTCCATAGCTGTTGTAAATATCATGTAGCTTCTCGTGTTGTTGGATGATGGGTGGAGCCTATCTACCCCTTTCTTGAAACATCCTTGTGATAGGAAGAGGTAGCAAGGATGAGCATCCTTTGGAAATGCTCCATTGTCCTCTGTTTTGGGCTTTCTGCATAAAACAAGGTTGTTCCCATATGGCCAAATGAATAAATCAGTGAGCTGACCATGTTTTCATCCAGCTAGATGTTTTATTCATACGACCAGATGACTTTTTCTAGACATAACATTGTAGAATAGAGCAATTTTTTAGGGATGATCTCCTGAAAATGCTGTTTCCACCATCTCTTTTAGTTATTTTGGATTGCCATCATGATTTGTTAGATTTAGCTTCTGTTAGTTGAATCAATTCATTGTTGTACATAACTTCCAAGCCCATGTCTTTCTATTCATTCATTGTTGTATTAACTTCAATCCCCACATCTTTAATTCCCTTCATTGTAAAGGCCTGTTGTAATAATTTCTAACCTCTATTTCTTTCTATCTCTTTGCTATGCATGTCTTGTAATCATCATTTCTTTCTCTCCCTTTTATTTTCATGTTTTCCACACTTTTTAACAGCATTGCATTTTCTTTTCATCATATACATACCTTGCATACATATTTCATGCATTTGGATCCAACTCATCTGCATTTGTGGAAATTTTCATTTGAAACTTGATTTTGTGCGCTACCTCATGTCTTGAGATGATTCACATCTCATGTTTTAGTAGCCGGATCTTTAGGTGCATTTTGTGTATGTATTGTATTAGAATTTTGCATATAGGATCATGCATATTTTACTAACATTTGATTCTTTCTTTTGCAGAATGCTGGTAAATACTAGGTGAGCATTCATAGCTTTAGCATACCGACTCTACATGATTTTCTTACTATGTCTAGCATCTTACCATGCAACTACATGCTTAATTGATATAACTCTATGATTTCCAGTGGATGGAGATTGTGTCGCTCAATTTGAAATAGCATTGATTCTTATACTTGTAAGCTCAATTTCTCTTTAGTTGTACATATCTCAAATTTTTTTTTTAAATACATGAGATCAAAGCATCCCAAAATGGGTGACACGATCTATATATGTTCGTCTCACATAGTAATATTAGCATTAATAAATAATTAGAATAAGAGCATATATAGTCTATAAAACTCATATCATGGTTTAGTAGCGTGACAACCGAATCATTCATGCATAATGCATATCTTATTATTCTTGCATTCATGTTACATGTTGTATGCTTATGTGAAATAGGGCTTGCTAGCATTAGGAAGAAAAGAGGAGGAAGTTTGGAAAGTTTTGTTTAAAATTTATTTGTTTTAATGCCTTGAGTTAGAGGATAACTTAGAACTTGATTTGAGAAACTTAGCAAATGCTTTAGCCTTAATTGAGGAGCTTAAGGACCTTGGTCCAATGTGCTTGTTCATATCATGCTATTTGTTATTTTTCTAATTTGGATTAGTGGTAATTAAGTGTGATTAGTTCACTTTAAGTATGATTAAGATAAATTAGATTTCTTAGCATTAAACCTAGTTAGTTAAGCTTAAGCAAGGGAATTAGTAACTAATGGATTTTCCAACTTTTGCCTTACCTTACCAAATAAAACTTTCTTCAATACAAAAGAAAATCTATAGGAGAAAGAAGTCTAGAAGCAACGAGAGAAAGGGAGAAGAAATGAGAAGAAAACAGAGAGAGAGAGAGAGAGAGAGAGAGAGAGAGAGAGAGAGAGAGAGGGGGGGGGGGGAGAGGAGGAGGAGGAGGAGGAAGAGCTAAAGAACTTCAACAAATCCAATCTAAAATGTGTTCTAAGGTATGATTTCTAACCTAGTTTTAAGGAGAAAGGAAGTAGAGTTTCGAAGATGAGTTTGAAAGAAACCATGTTCAAAGGTTTCTTAACTTGAATAACAATTTTGATGCATGAATCTTAGAATTTCATTGTTTTTTATTTTATTTTATTTGGAAAAACAATCATATTTTTGTGTTTGATGTCAAATATGCATGTTTTTAGGTTGTTTTTCTTGAACCCTAAGCTTGAAAATGTAGGAAGAACATTTAGAACACTGCAGAATTTTCGAACAGCAGAATTTTGTTAATCACTGCTTGAGCGGTGGAAAGACCACTCAAGCGAATATTGTGAACTTTCAGCATTTTGGTTATGTAGGCCTGTAATGCTGTATGAGTCGATTCATTGCTCAAGTAGTGCAAAGACTGCTCGAGCGAACTGTCCAAGTTCAACTAGTTTTAAACCCACTTTTCACTCATTTTTCTCCCTCTTTATACATCCTTATTCATGTTTTGAACCTAGAAAAAGATTAACATAATTAGAAACCAACTTAAAGTGTGTTTGATTAGAAGAGAGGACTAAAGCTAAACCATACGTTTAAGTTAATTTAGGAACCTTGTAAGTTATCTAGTACTTCAACATTTTCTATTGTTTCATGTTGGTTAAGCTTTGAAGGAGTTATTACCCTTGTTCATGGAGCCATTTGTGAGTAGTAGTGTAGTAAAGTTATGTTTATTAAAGTAATGATTTGAAATGTAAACTTATGATATGTTTAATAAAGTTAAGGTATCGTTTTGTTATGAACGAACATCCTATATTTTTGTATCATGTATTATGTCGACATCTTGGATCATGTTTGTTATTGGGAATCATGCCAATAACCTCTAGCTAACCGAGCTCCTCTAGCCATCTGTTGTAGATTCTTGATTCGAAATGCCATGGAATGCTCACCGTTATGTATATGCTTGCAAGTTAAGCTTGTTTTGTATTGACAAGTTATACTATGTTCAAAATGATCATGCGCTTGGTTTTAATAAAAGTTATGAATGTTCATTCATTTACCACTTTACTATATTGCTATTCACTCTGCTTTGGGTCACCCCTCTCCCCTATATGTATGTTGTAGGCACCCCAATTTTGACTGCTCATAAGACTTAGGCACTTCATTCCGAGCACTCGATGATGAAGGTTATATTGTGTAAGTGGTTTGAATTCTCAAAAAAGAATTCGATTTCAAGCTCTAAACAATCCCAACCTGCCATACCCACTGTAT